AGCTGATGGATTTTCATATCTATAAATACATCTACTCTCTTAACCTCTTGCTAACCATCAGTTGCACACCATAGACTGCATTTGGCACCAGTGCAGTCACTGCAGCCAATTTGGCCACCTCTGGGAGACATCTATTACTGCTGTAGAGGTAAGAGCAATTCATTGTGAACTGAGGCCCTGTTGTACTCAGTCCTGTGCAAACAGGTAATAAGAGCAGACAGTCCCTGCTCCAGCCTGGACTCACACCCACCACAGCGCTCCCACCCACATGGTGATTCACATGACAGTGGCAGAGAAGGGTCCGATCCTGTCACACTGGAATGAAAAGAGACCATAACCTGCATGGCACACCTTCATATCGCATTTGGGAGGGAGTAGAGTTTGTCAAAGGAAGTTAAGGTGCTTAACTGACGTACACTGGAGATCTGAGAGGAACAAAAAAAGCCAGCCAGGAGCAAACTGCAGCTCCCTGGAAGTCCTGCTCAGCTGATGGTGCTGGTTGCTGCTGGCCCCGCACCATCACCCTCCCATCGCTGCCCGCTCTGGCACAGCTCTTCTTGAGACGGGAGGTGAAGCCAGCCCACAGACGTCCTGGGAACACAGCTCCTGCCTCTCCCTGCATCCTCCATCACCTCCAGTGCTTTCTGGGGACCCCATGCCCACCCATCATCACCATGGCTGGTGCTGGACCTGGCACCATCTGCCCTCCTGCCCTGGCCACAGCCAAGCTGGGCCAAGGTGAGGACATGGTACTGAAGTGGTCACGCTTGTGATGATGGTGAACAGGGGCTCAACACCCACCTGCTGCCACAGCACCTCCCCAGCTGCCTGCTCCCACAGCAGCCCCGGCTGCTCCCACTCTCCTTTTCTCTTTTTTGTTCTGGTTGTATGGAGTTGGGTGGGACACATGTGCAGCCAGGACACGATGGAGATGTGAGCTGGGAACAGGTCGATCCAGGGCGGCCCTGCTGCCTACATGGGCTCCCAGCTGCGGACTAGGGGCTGTGCCTGCGGCACGGAGGGCAAGAGCCAAACTGGAACCAGTGAGGAGCAAAGAGGCCCAGGACAACAGTGCACAGCTTCACAGACTTTTATTTTTCACTCTGTACAGAACACGTCTGTGATTGTAATAAGGCATCAAATGCACTACTGAACAGCTCATGATGGACTGTGACGTTTCGCCCTGTTGTGGATCAAAAAGGAGCTTTACAAGATTAAACCAGTTGCTTTCCTAGTCAGTAAACTTTATATTCATCGCAGACAGATTTTTAAAAGGATTACAAAGACTAAAAAACTGTAAACACATAAAAACAGCAGTAACCCAGCATAGCTTCCTAGGAGAGAGTCTTGGACATTTCTGCCATGGGGCTGAGTTCAGGCTGGCAAGGAGCAGGTGAGGTTGGCTGTGCCCAGGAGCCATGCAGGGAACCTGCGGCCTGGGGGCTGGGAACCACGTGGCAACAGGCCTCCATTCCAATGAATATCCATCCCCAGCAGATGCCATGCAGCTCCCAAATGGCCAGCCTCGGCCACATGTGTCTGATCAAGAAAAGGGAACTGAGAACACGGGTTACCGGGGAGCTGTTTGAGCAGCAGGGAGCCAGATGCTGGCTGCCTCCCTCCCTGCAGCACAGGCACCTCCGGGGCCCCTCTGGTGGGAAGGCAGAGGCCAGAGCAGAGCCCAGCCTGCAGACATGTCATGAGGTAGAAAACTGGAAAGTGTCATGTCTGGCAGTTAGGGTTGGTCAGAAATGAACTGACTAAGGGTATAAATCCTGATGCGTTTCTGGGGTATTCAGAAATCTGTACTTGGAATCCTGATAGTTTAGAGGGCACCTAAAACCCAGTTGGTATATGCCAAAATTTAGATCCCCAAAAAAGAAAGCTCTCCAATGATCCCTGTGACAGCTTTAGCTCAGGCAATGAAAAAGCACCAACAATTCTTCCCACACCTGTACCCTTAAAGCACTTAAATTTTGAGCAGGGGAAATCAAGTTGTGAGAGTGCATGAGAGGGCAATCAGTGTCCCTTGGCCTCAGCCTTTGGTATGGCCTCGTGTGAGGTCCACTGGCTTGTCCACTGGCCAGTGGGCTCATACATTCATTTTTCACCATCGGTCATCAGACAGCAAGTGCTTTGGTTTCTGTCGCACCACACAGCACAAGAACCTGAGAGTCCAGAGGTTTTATATCGCACCACCAACTCACACCATGCTGTAATTTGTAAAGGTGGTCAGAGGAATGTCCTGAGAGTTTTTATCTGCTAAATTCCTGCACTCTGAAGGCCTTCCTTCACGTCTTAGTACACAGTAACACCAAAGTGAAGAAACTCTGTTAGTCCCGTTGTTTGAATTTTCTTACTCCTCACACTCCTGCAGAGTATATTTAGATTATTAGGTTGACTAAGGTTTCCTTAAAATGCTCAGAGAAAATTTCAGGGTTCATTAAAGTATTGCAGGCTCATGATCTGTGACAGGCATTTTACAAAGTGTCAGAAAACTTCTCTCTTTATAATAACATACTGACAGTTGAGGGAGAGTTCGTTTTTCTAGTGCTAATAATCAGCATTAAGGCATGCCATGGTTCCTACAAGAAATCTGTGATCCGTACAGCTTTAGCTGTCATCTTTCTGCAGTAATGGAATGTACTCCAATTTCATGCATATGTATCATTAAAAAATAAAAATAATAGCTCTGAAAACCACCACCCTCAGTTTTAGAGCTTCTGTTGTGTAGATGAGAACAGTGATTCCCACTAGGATCCCAGGCAGGTGAAAGGGTTTTCATCCCCCATGACACCCATCTGCGGCCGCACACTGTCTTGCTCACTCCAGCTCAGCACCATTTACCCTCTCGCTTGACAAGGCTTTCCCTGGGTCTGTGGAGGCCATGGCCAACCCCCTCCCATCCTCAGGCCAGGATGAGAAGCAGTGCTGTTCCCAACACCCCACCTCAAGACATGTGTCAAGCCCTGCAGGCAGCGTCCACATACCCACCAGCAGGCAAAGGTCAGCTAAGGAGGAACTCTCCTCCTGTGTCCTGCTTCCTAGGCTATTTCCTTCCTCACTCTCACTGATGACAACAGGCTGAAGGCTTCTTCTTACATCTGAAAGATATTCCAGGTATTTACTCTAGACATTCAATCCTGAATGCCTGATGACATATCCAGAGGGATGTAAGCTCTCCAAAGACAACTGTGGACATGCTGGTCACTGTTGAGTTACTGCCTGTGAACACGCCGTGTATCATGACATAAACTGGGAAAATCATCTAATAGGCAGCAGCACCTCCTAACAAGGCAGCTCATTTAATTACCCAGTGACACTGAACAAAAGCACCGTCTAGAGCAGCATCTCTTTCACAGGACCAATGCTAAAGCCTGGGTACCACGCTCTGCTATTTACAGCAACCAAAGGCATGAATCTGGAGCAGCGCAGATCCTTGAGTCCTCAGTCAAAGGCCAGCAAGCACAAGGGACTGAACTGGCTGAGTGCCAGACTTGGGTGCTGCACTCATCTCCTGACAGAAACAGCCAGAAAACAGGGAATGAGCAACCAGGTGGCAAAACATCATTCAGTCTCTCCAAGTGAAAAACCCACGTTTCCACCATCCACTTCTTATTCTGAACTTTGTGCTGCCACATATTCCTGGGTAAAGCAAGCACAAAGGAAATCTTGTCACCCTTTCCCAAGAGAACTCTTCTCTTGTATGTCACAGTGGGGAAAAAAGTATAATTGAAAAAATATTTAATACTCCTGATATTTGAAACCTAACTCATGACTGAAAAGGCTGTGACAGTGAATCACATGCTTCTACTAAGACTCTGCAGAGACTGTACAGACAGAGCTCTTCACTCACGTTTGGTTTTGTCAGGGACACACATATATATGACAGACATGTTAGGAGGACATATATATATTAACCACTGTTCAGTAAGAAGTGACAGTGGTGCATAGGCCAATTTTTGTTGGTTTTCTCAACACTGCAAGAACACACCTTCAGTGTTCCACAGAATCTGCTGATGAAATAGCATCAGTGGTACGGGTTTTTAGCTATGGTGCCACAGAACTGTGATTAAAGTAACATGTACCCTTGATCATCTATGTTAAGTGAGTCTCATGTCAGCCAGTAAACTGCCTGATACTTAACCTTTGTACTTCCCGGTGATTTATTTTTTACAAATAAATTGGGTTTTATTGAACGAGCCTCAGATAGCTCCTTCCTGACCTTTCCTTGCTGGTTATGAGAAAGCTGACAGCCTAGTGACATAAAACTGAAGTTTCAGAAAGGACTAATAAGATGCAGACAGCCCCAGTATAAGCAAAGCCCTGCAGCTGAGCTTGAATTTCTTCTGGCATCTGTACTGAAGGAGAATCAATCTCAGCATACCCATGCTTTTTTACTCTTTGGGTCTTTTGAGACTCCAGACAAGAGCTCTGTTAATTCAAGTTATGGCAGTTTTCATACAAAGACATCTGTCCACCAGGAAATAAACTTCTTTTATATGGGTCACTATAGCTATCAGAAGTTAATGACTATCAATCATTGCTAATCTGAAATGAAATGGAGCCACTGACCTCAAGCTGAAAGAGCCTTTTGTCTCCTACCAATACCATGAGCCATATGGTTTCCTGCCCTTTGCCTCTTATTTTATATTTTAAATAATCATCACTAATTGTACAATTGTTTGAAAAGATGGCAGGGTTGTGGCAAGTCATGACCAAGTGGTGTTCTTTCTTCCCTCAACAGAAAAGGGATCAGTTGAAAATTAAAGAATAAAAAAGAATCTCTTTAATGAAATATTAGCCCTGCTATTTGATTATTGGTCCTGCTTCTTAACATTCTATCAAGTAGACTGTTAATAATCCTGCAGGCGCAATAATTAACGGCTTCTAAAGTGTCAAGGTCATTCCTGTTCTATATGGAGAAATAAGAAAACTATATAGGCAAGACACCAGTGGAATGTTTTATATTAGGATAAACGAGTATCTGAGGAACCTACTTATCACAATTTTTTTTATTCAGTGGTTTTCATTATTTTGCATCATTTGCATTTCCTCTGACACATTTCCTCTTTACAAGTGCTCATATATTGCAAACATTTGATTATAGAGCTTAAGATAAAACCATTCTTGTCAGACAAACAAACTGCATCACCAGCTATCTTTAGCTGCATCTGCTTTCTTTAATGAAACTTATTTTCCTGCAGAAATGCTCCCTTAAAAATCATGACTACACTAATTATCTATGGCAAGCACATCTTCCTCAACTAATGACAGCTCGAGCATATTATCATTTGCTCCAGACTTCATTCTGAAATTGAAAGATCCATACAGCTTTGCAGACTCCTTGGAGGATGCAAACCTGCTCCTCCGGTACAGCTCCCCTTTCCACATGGACATCATCAACAGGCTGGAGAGCACCACGCCCCCCAGGGTTAAGAGACACAGCCCAGCAATAACACAGCGGTCCAAATGAGCACCAATCCTGGCGCTCTCGTTCTCCAGCCTCTCCATCTCCCGGGCAGCCACAGTGTTGGGATCCACAGTCACATCTCTGGGTACCACGTAGGAAATTATCACCAGCAAAATGCCACTAACCAGGAACAAAATGGCACTAATGAACCCATAGTCAACAGATTTCCCGGCTGCCGCCTCCGAGGCAGCATCTTCCTCCTCAGAGACCAGGGAAGGAGAATCATGCACCCATGCAGGTGGCAGCTCCCTGCAGGAATGCTGCTGCAGAAGGGCATCCTGGCAATGTCCACCTGTAGGACTGGGGGGACTTCTTGCATGCTCCAGATTTACATTTTCATCCACGTAGGTGAATGATGTCTCAAGTTCCTGGGCACAGCAGCAGGCTTTCTTCTTCCCTCTGTCCTCCTCCCTGGGCGAGTGCTCAGGTGGGTGGCAGGGCTGGGAGCTGCTGGAAGGTGCAAGGTGCTCCTGGGGTGAGGTGTCCAGGGATGAGGGCTGAGGTGCCAGGGGGGGCTCAGCCACAGGGCCTGTCTGCAAGGGCTTGCAATGCCTTTCACAGTGGAGGGCTTCTCTGGGGTCTACCTCACCCCCCTCATGCTGCTGCTGCTTGTAGGGAGGGGAGGGCAGGCTCCAGCTGGTAGTGGTGCCCAGGGGCACCTGTCTGCTCTCCTTGGCCAGGTAGAGAAGCTCCATGCAAGCCATCAACCTTGTCCCGGTGAGCCTTGACTCCTGGGCTACTTCATCCTCCAGCAAGTGCTGCCCCTAACCTGCAGAAGCGGCTTCCCAGTACTGGAGCTGCTGTATCCCAGAAATCTTCTACTCTTTCACCAATGTTTTGTTAGGGACATGGCTTGTGTCAGCTGTTAAATGATTAAACAAATCCTCTGTGACATTCATTTTTTTTTGGTCTGCAAATGAAATAACAGAGGGGAAAAAACCCAACAACGAAACCAAACCTGACAACCTCACGATGACATATTAATAAACCAAGGAGCAGATAACGCAAATGTAATACATCAGCCTTCCTCTCAACTGATCAAGGGGAGATGACAAACAATGATTGTTTTAACCACGCATTTAAAATTGCAATCCTCTTGCTGATCCAAAATCTATTAGGGAGTCTAATCAACCTTTGACACCATTATCCCATTAAGGCAATAAGTCATCTACAAAGCACAGGATAACCAGAAAAACTGCGTAAAATGTCAGAGAAAAGAGACGTCTGTTGTTTTTGAAGCAAGTAACTTCCCCACCCCCTTCCAAAAAAAGAATTTTACAATCAGATTCACAGACTAATTAGAGAGAAACATGCAAATCCTATGTAGCTCAATAATCCAGGATCTGTATTCTCCAGTAGAAATCTGATAATCCTATGGGAAAAGCAGTGCTTTCCTATAGCAGATCTCCCATTCGATTAAGAGCTTTTGGAATGAAATTATGCCTCAAGGACTGATGACTCAAAGACGGATATTACTTCTCATCTGCAATTAATTCGTTATTACCCCCTTCGCCTGCGCCCCATCCCCCCCGAGGCCGCCCGGTGTCACGGGGCGCAGTCTGCAGCCCGACGGATGTGTTGCATGCCTAGGAAACACATGTGCGCCTACAGCACATACGTGATCGCTCACAGCCGCTGCTCACTCACGCTCTTCTCAGGACCTCAGCGAGAACCGGCCACGCTGGGGAAAGCGATGCCCGCCGGCGCGGGGAGTAGCGGGATCCACCCGCCACCGAGTGACCCGAGCGGTACCGAGGGTACACAGGCACACACGCACAGGCACACACGCACTGCCCGGCAGGCAGGAGCACGCCGCCTTCTCCTCCTCCTTCTCCCCGTGCTCCTCCTCCTCCTCCTCCCAGCGGGGCTCTCACCTGCCCGGCACACACACACACAGACACACACCGACACACACAGACACACACCGACACACACAGACACACACCGACACACACAGACACACACCGACACCTACCTCCCGCCCGCCTCCGCCACCGCCGGCGCCCGCCCCCGCTATGCCCAGCGCCGCGGGGCTCCCCCGGGCGGTGGCGCCCAGCCCAGCCCAGCCCAGCCCAGCCGGGCAGCGGCGGGGCGGGCGGGCTCTCTGCGGCACGCCGGGAGCTGTAGTCCTTGGGCGGCGGCGGCCGCGCCGCTGCGGCAGCGCTCGGAGCAGCGCACGGAGCCGCGCCCGCCCCGCGGCTCCCGGGGCGCTCAGCATGTCCCTGCAGGGACACGCTTCCCGCGTTCCAGTCACCACACTGTCCCCTCCGAGCGCCCGGTTCCTGGCACGTGCCTGGAGACGAGCTTCAGTGCAGCGAGCCCTGTGCGTGTGACTAGCTCGGTCATCAGCCAGACTTGTTTTCCATGGTCACGGGAGCTCGCGACTTACTTCAGGGAAAGATAAAAATCAGATTCTCAAATGATAAGTGATAAAATCGGATTCTCAAATGGTCGCAGCACTCCCGGACCTGAGACTTCAAGAGACATGCTGCTGCAAGACTTACTGGAAGATCGCAGAAGCCAACCATGTTGGCAGACTCCACACGCTTCCCCGGCCGGCACAAATGACTATTAAAAAAAAAAAAAAAGACTGTTGCCAAGAAATACATAATGAAATGAATGAGCAGTTAGTACAAACCTTCACTGACCTTTCTTGATAGTTCTTTATCTGAAGTGATAAACTAGAATATGAAAATAAATTGTGGAGGAGCAGTACGGCGGATTAGTGGGATTTGGGGAGACCTCCAGGCCTTAGGGTGCCAGCCCCATTACCTGCGAGGTGAATGCCCTTCCCCCCGCCCCTGCACGTGGCCCGGCAACCCCTCAAGGAGCACACACAGACCACACAGGGATGGACGGACGAAAGAGGAAGTTTATTGTGGGGTTGGGGTTTATAAGGCTTTTAGGAGGGTCAAAAGGGGACCAATCACAAGGTCAGGGTCACACAGAAAAAACCATCAGGTAAAGGGTCAACAACCAATAGAAAGGGGTTAACAAGGGACCAATGAGAAACACCCCAGGACACCTTCCCAGGACACTCTGTGTGAGACAATAGCTTCACAAGGGGTGTCGGGAAGAAGGAGACAGTGACACTGCAGAAAATACAAAAAGGCATTTTGAAAACATGTTTGAACCACAGTAAAAACTTCTGTCTCCATAATGTTTGAGCTGTTTTCCTCACCAATCCATCTGACAGGACTTTTTCCATCCTGCATATGGCAAATCCATTGCCACAAGCAGGAACTGGAGGTTTATCAGAGCTGGATACTATGTGGTTGGAGAAAGACCAGTTTCTGGGGGAACAAAGAGCATTGGCGGAGGGACCTTTCTAAGGAGCTGAAATGAGGATGCACATGGGAAGTAGAAGTGAGCAGCACTGGCCTGCATAGCAGCTGAATAGGAAAGCAGCTGAATAGGAAAGCAGGGGCATAAGATGGAAAGTGAGCTGGGAAGGAATCAGAAGAGAGAACTACAGACTGTCTGAAGGAGTTGTCCTGACATCAGACGACAGGGTGATTCTGTGTAAGGACTCTTAGCCAGTTCTGAAAGAATGCATTAAGTAATTAAGTCAAAGTTTTGAAGACATATCCTGCTGAGACGCAAAAGACCCAGCACAGAAGATTCAAATCTTTATGGCAAAAGCTCCCCTGAATGTCAAAATTGCTTGGCAGGACATGGTAATAACAGGGGACCTGCAGTGCCCATCTCACAGATTGCTCGATGCTGTGGGCTGCTTTGGACAGCATTTCAAAGCAGCTCCAGGCAGTGTTTCCATTAGCAGAGTGCAGTTTCAATGCACTGAATAGTGTATTATTCACTCTTTGAAGAAAAATTGTAAGGAGAAAATTATGGAGTTGCAAAAAAGGCACAGGCTGTCCTCGGAGCTTTTTGTAATAATGCCCTCTTTGAGATAAATATAAAGGAGAAAATAAAACCTAATCAAAAAAACAAAGAAGCTTATCTGTAAATTGTTCAAATACTTTAAGCTAAAAGCAAAGGCAGAAATAAACTCTCTTTAAGGCTATTGTACATTTCCATTTGAGAAGTAGCAGAATATGAACATACAGATGTTGGCGACTGACACCTCAAGCTGCACCTGCCACATCCAATAGACAAGTCTTAACTAAGTGACTGATGGGACAAAATATGGTGCTCAGCCCCAGTAATGCAGCCTGGAAGGGCACAAGCACCTCTCCTGGGCCCCAGCACAACCTGTTAAGGCCTTGGGTGGGCACTTTTTTTCTGGTAGCTGATAATAATAATGGCCAGTCTTCGCGAGCGAAGATTTGGGAAAGGTCAATCCATGCCTGCGCAGTGGATTTTTTAGGTGAGACCCAGCGTGCGCTGAACTGAGCCCACCCTTTAATCCTGAGGTTCATCTGCCGGGGCCAAGCAAGCTTGGACAGTGGCAGTGAGGGTCTCAGAACGTAGGTTTGTTTAGAGTGACCTTCTCTTAGATGGATTGCCTTACAAGGCTAACGAGCTCCATCTGCCCGGGGGACTGGGAATCGAACCCGGGTCGCAGCGGTGAGAGTCCTGCACCCTAACCACTAGAGACAGGAAACTCTCCGCACACAACAAATGTTGTTGTTCTTTCAAAACCCAGGAGATACAGCATGTATTCTGGACTGCTTACTAGGGCCTTAGTTAATTGTTATTTAACCACACAAATGTCTCGCTGCTCTGCCACCCAATCCTGCCTGTTGTGTGCCAGCATTTGTTGGGCAAGTATATTAATTTGTTGATAATAATTGCACTCTCACAAACTATGGAACAAACAGAGGGAACCACATCTCTACTAAGCCAAGTGTTGTCTGTTCTTATGTTGTATGTTCCCATGTGATGCTGTGTAAAAACCTTTTCTGCCCGACGCTGGGCACCATATGTCGCGGTCCGAAGAGGGGACAGGACACGAGGAAGGGTGCAAGCAGAGTTCTTTATTCAGGCGTGTGCCCGATTCTTATCCGTCCCGCCAGGGATAGGAGGCAGAACATAGGGTGGGGTATCAGACAGACAAATGGGGGAGCAAATCAGAATAGGGCACAGGCAAAAGGAGGAGGAGTGGGGGAAGCAGGGAGCAGGCAAACTCATGGCAAGCCTGGGCATGTGCAGTTGTGCACTGTGTAGCGTGAATACAATGAAACCACATAATAACAGTAAAGTCCATATGAAAGTCCTGCCAATTGCTGTATGCTTTTCTCCGTGCCTGGAACTGTTCCCATCCTGAATCGTGTTCCGTCACAATGCTGCCCCTCCTTTGCCTAGTACAGTGCACACACTCATAGCAAAATCATTGTCTAGCCACAATCCATAATACTGACATTTCTTTTTCATACTTTGGATGCAATGAGTTAACAGGATTTTCTTTTAAAGAATGTGATTGTTGCCAATGCTCAGAGATGTGGAGGTGGTGAAATGAATGCATAGCAACACATACTCTGCGAACACAAGTACAGCTGGTGAAAAGATTAATCAAGTAAGGGCAGAGAGTAAGAACATTTGTCACAGAAAAAATGGCTACGTAGAGCTAAAAATCAGAGTGATGGACACACAATGGGACAGGAATAAAAGATTGGAGTAGACTGTCAGGGTTGATGAGTCTTATTCTCTCTGCTGCAGCCTACCACATCATAAAGCCTTTTCAGAGCCTGAGCAGGGCTATGATACCAACGCTGTGACAGTAGACTGATAAAGGTGTCTCAGTTGAGATACATGCAGTTAAATTTAAACCATGCTCTGGACCTACTTGGAAGCTCTCTTCCAATTGACCCACCTATAAATGAATATGCGAACGAGATGTATATGGCTTTTCTGTTCTCAATAACCTATGCTCAGTATGAGACTGGAAGGAGGCTTGTGAGAACCTAAAAGCTGTTTCACCCTTTCTATTTGAAGCCTTGCTGAGGGCCTGACCAGACCTGAAGGCATCAGAAACTGGAACAAGACCATTCCATCATGGTCTGATGAAGGATGAGTTTAGAAATATTCTGCTTGCGCTTGCCGTTACCAGTTCAGTGCTTCATGGGGTTCTCAGTAGAGCGTTCCCCAAACATTTTTATTCTTTTTACTCCTCTCAGCTTCATAACATGTACACAGTCTTTCAGTGATCTCGTGTTCACAGAATCTTCAACTCCTTGCCTCACACAGTCACAGGACCTTGAGTTTCCAGTGGTCCTTTCCAATGCAAGTGTTGCAGCTGCACAGCTTCTAAGATAAAGGTGCACTCCAACTAGTGTGGCCCAGAGCGTAATATATTCAGAGAAGTCTAGAGAGAATATTGCATAAACTTCCCATTTCCACTTGAATAGATTATACTGCTAAGTAAAGGAAATTGTCTAGGGAGGCGATAACATGGCTCTGCAGAAAAATTTAGAACGTACTAAAGAAATATATGGACCTGTGTACTGATCTGTGAAAAATAACAAAGGTAATAGAAGGGAATGAAGAGGTAAAGCTAAGCTTATATATAAGTGCAAAAGAAAAAACAATATAGTTTTTTTTTTGCTTAGAGAATATAAGTATTCTGAGGATAACGAGCAAATATTTGGACAACTCAGTATGAAAAGAAGTATCCAGCATTTCTGTGTGTTTAAAACACATTACTGTCACAGATTTATTGATTTATAAAGCAAAAGTAGACAGGAAAGCAATTTAATTCTGCTTTGTTTGCTTCACTAATGCACATCCATTGTGCATTAATAAAAGACACAATAAGTAAATAATTTTACAGAGATAAAAGAAACTGTAGATGTGTGATATGATGTTCCAGAATTGCCAAGTCTAGATTAAATCCTTGCTAAAGCCTTCTGCTTCCCATGTCTGAGTAAGTGAAATCATGGTTTGGATAACTGGAGCTCCTGAGGATGAACAAAAAAAGTCACACTTGATCGTAAAACAAAGGATCATCTAGAGGAGCAAAGAGTGGGAGAGTGGTGTTGACCACTTGAAAAACATGTTTTTTGTAGCCCAGTGTATGAGCTAACAGACATGAAGGACAGGTGAGATTTAATGGGCTGTCAGGCTGATGTCTGCTCACCAGTGCAGCACCTGTGGAGCCTTCACAGAGCACCAACAGGGGAAGGACCAAATCTGGATGTCCCAGAGCTGCTGTTTGCCACCTGCTATGCCCACACCAGTGACTTGATCTGATGACCTGACCAACCCCACTGCCCCAAGTTTTGCTCTTCATCCTGACCAGCCTCCCTGCTTTCCTCCTTCAGGAAGTCATACTCAGCCATTTTCCCTCCTGAATCCTTAAGCAACTGAGCACCCCTGTCCCAACAGGCCTATCCTTGACTGTGCTTTAATTTTTCTAGTGTCCTACTGACTTTTTCACAGCCCTTTCTCAGCAGTCTGGGCTCAGGTTGCACAGTGGGACATACCTGAGCTGGCCCTGCTGTGCCAAAAGCAGACTGACTGCTTAGTGCCAGGTACCTGGATACCACTTAAATGCCTAAACTTTGGACACCAGGGTGGAGGAGATGCCTTCTGTCTCCCTGCATGCCTCCATGAGGCTGAGTACTGAGCTGTGTGCTGTGCTCTGGAGGAGCCTTGGCAGTGCCCAAACAAGTCCTCCTTGCTGTAGACCTGGTATTGCCGCATGTCCCCACAGGTGTCTGCCCACTAATGGGAAAATACCATCACTGTGCTGTGAGAGCCTTTATTTCCCACCATGGTCATACCTGAGACATTAAGGACACACTTCTCCCGGGTCACCCCATAGATTGAAGGCTACAGCCCTGAACCCTCTGTGGCTGCTGAGTGCCAGATGTCATGCACATGCCTGACTCCGGTTGTTGGCTTTTCCAGGTGCATTCCTGGAGGGTTATTCTCTTCATCTTTCTGTGTACTTGCATTGAAAGACAGATTCACTCCCAGTAACCACATGGTAGATCTGGGAGTTGCAGTGCACCTTTATTCAGCACAGACCTAAAAATGCTAATTATGGAATGTAGTAATTTAAAGGAAAAGTGAGATAATAGACTACCTTGGAGGGAAGCCCAGCTGA